AGGTTTGTATCATAAAAAGTCAACTCTACCCTCACTTCTGTTCAAAGACTGATCACTAATCAAGGAATTATAATTAAAATGGGCTATTCTGACATTTCTTATTATCAAGGGCACTTTCATGAAACATCTTGAACCAGACACTACGTTTACTAAGCCCCTTACCAGTTGCGGTAAATGCAAACTTAACTCACCATCATATAAAACAAGAAGATTTTTCCATTGATAATGAGTAATGATTCCCCTTATTGCCTCTGTTACGTCATGTGAACTTGGTGCCATTTGTATATGGTATTTAGACTGTTTTGCAATGTTGAAAGAACTGGATCCTATATGCGTGGTTACCAAGGGAATTCTTAGCATAGAACTTAAAGCCTGGTGGGTAACCATACCCGGTGAATCCACGAGAAGGGAAATAACATTGGATTTCAAGAGTTTCATTGCTGTAACGAGACGGAAAGTTTACAGTAAGGGCTGCATTACAGTAATCATGAAGCAAAATTGAACTGCTGGCGGTAATAAAATATTCCCTTTCCCGTTAACTTCCGAGAGATAAGATAGTTAAAAACAAACTGCACCAGACGAAATCACTGTTCAGTTGCTTTCAACTAAAAAGCCACAGACTAAGGTCTAGGTTTTTAACCAAATATTTCATATTTAAGACAACAGGCTTTACTCTGACTAAAAATGGTTTAATAAGTTTTTAACGTTGTATACTCTAATATACAATAACTTCTTTCTCGAGCTAAGGAACCTGGGTGGTTCCTACTTACACTTACAAATTCAGGATTTGTTAGCTTATTTTCGTTTTCTAAGTAGCTAGTGTTTCTTACCGTACTCAAACGCGTTCTCGTGAATCAGCTGCTCGTCAAAAGCCTTCAATGTCGTGTTTGGTAACAAGCGTGAGTCTGAGTTTATGTGCTTGATTGCAAGTTCAAATGCATCCCTAGCTTGGCTGTTACTTTCATTTGATGATAGTGCTATAATAAATTAAACGGTAGGTTTTATTCTAATTTTCAGCATAATATAAACTCAAAATCTTAGCGATCGGCTGGACTAAATAGGAGTTAGTCAAACTAAGGTCCAGGCATTTAACATTGTATTTTCTATTATTCACATGGGATCTTTGTGCTTCGTTTTTAAAATGATCGGATACTTCGTGTTCATCACAGCGTAAATTTGTTATGAAGGTAAAACGAAGTCAGTGGGAAAAATTTTAGAATATAGCTATGACTTGTTCTTAATTACAAAATTTCGCCCAAATAAATACCTGTAATATGCCAATATTACTGTAATATAAACACTTGTAAGATTAAACGATAAAGCGTTTTCCTGCGCGCGGTTTCTGTTTAATGAGTGCCTTCTCTCTAAATTCCATTTGAGCATCTTCAGTAACTATTGCCAACAATGCATTCACTATAAACACCTTTGTAACTTTAAGAGTTGTTAACTGATGAGAAAAAAACACTTTTGTTTTTTTATATCACTCATGTCCTGGATGCCAGCGCTTGTTAAACACGAATTACTGAAGGAACAGGAATTTCCTCGACAAATAAATTACCAATATATTATTAAACTGTGAAACACATGCAGAGCTAAACAGGTGAAATTGGAGGCCCCAACAAAATAACGTCGTTTTACCACATTTTGTAAGAATTTTTCACAACAACACATAACCAAGTAACTGTTAAAGATGGCGAATTCTATCGAGATAAAAATAACACGTGCAAGTAAAAAGACAGTAAATTAAAAAAAAAAGAAGACGGCAGCAAATTTCCAAAACGTTTTTGCGTACACTGTGAAAGCTGTCTCGTTAAATGTCTACAATAAGGGTATCTCTTACATAATTTAGTAAGGCGGTTATATCGTTCTTTGCATAGAAGTAAGTAACTATAAAGTTGATGTGACTTCCAGTGAAAAACTGTCATTTAAATTAGAAATAAAAGGCCCTACAAAGGCCATATATCAGTCCCAAAATCTATATTTTAAAAGGGGCCAGTGAAGTAGAATACCTTTGGCATGATTTCACGAAAACACAAAATAATCAAAGGTTTTAAAATGTGTAAGCAAATATACGAACAGCTTACCAATGTAAACAGTTGATGGTACAGAAGACGCAACACCACCATCAACCCATAATGTAATAATCATAAAAGTCAACCAGACTCTCATTGGAATGGCAGCCATGAACTTCGTTCCTGTATAATTAAATGAATTATTTCAGTGATTGAATTTATGTTCGATTTCCCCAGCGCTTTTACGGACTCTTTCAAAGGTTTGCAGACAATTTCAAATACTTGCAACGACGTTTTTCTTTATGGTGATTCCAAGTTGTGAAGTCTGCCACTCTTATCGAGGGTGAAAACTACAGGTTCTTCGCAGTGTACCAATTAGCTCAAGCTGGGAGGTTTAAGTGGTGTGGTTTTCCAACTGTTTCAAGTAGACAAAGTGAAAATTGGAGCAATTAAAAGTGGCTATCACTGGTAACCATAGCAATAAACGTGGCTACCACTCTTATCAAGCACAAAGTAATTAAAAGTTTGTCACGGAACATGCTGCTAACCAGTTGGAGATATCGACGGCCCAGGCAAGCTAGCCAGACATTGCCCCAGATGACAGTGATATATACGAACTCAAATTGTAATTACGTTTGGACTAGGAATTTTTTAAGGGAGAACCCAAAACAAACATAACGATTTATTGTTTTCACATAAAAATGTTAACGATATTGTGTCTAAGAACGGTAGGTATTGCATTTAATGAACAAGTAATAAAAATGGTAAAAAGCCGCATGAATTAGAGTTGTTTACAGGAACTCAGTGTGCACCTTTGACACATTATAAAAACCACACTAGTACAGTAATGCCCAGGCCCCGTGGAACGCAATCTCTTGTAGTAACCTCATTTCTGCTCATATTCATTTCACCAACTAAAATTGCACTAACTTCCAATATACTTAAGCGGAGCCGCAAGTTATAACGAGCAATTCTGGTTGAAAACTGCACACAAATGGTACATTAGAAACTGCATAAAATCGAAATCAGTACTCGGGAAAATTTCCGCCAGAAATGTAATTGTTGGTGTTTTTTGAAGTTTAACTATTGACTTCTTAGAGGTCGTTATGCTGAACGAAATCTTTTTTGTTCTTCTTATATTGAACATTCACAACTCACTTGATGCACATGGCAAGAGGTATTGTTTATTTTGGTTAAGCACTTCAAACACGAGATTTAACATAAACAAATGGCTTATTTACAAGCTATGAGGTATCGAGTGAGGTAAATAAAGAAATATTGGCATTCAAATTTCACACAACAAATTTTGTAAGCTTCAGAAGGTAAGAGAGCTCAAGAGGAAATCTAGCTCTACTTTTAAAGCGCAGCCTAGCGTATTTGTAGCCTTTATTTTTCTCAATATTACCACGACATCTTTGAATTTCTTGTCAAAATAACATTTCAGTTATGCTTTATCTTCAACAGCAATTACAGTGAAGACCGCAAAAACAAAAATAGCACTTAAAACTGGCGTTTCTAGAAAGCACACATGTAGCGTTTATCTACAAAAATAGCTCCTCTAGAGGTAATTGAAACATTTCTTCGTATCAAGCCCTTATTGACGTCTAAGATTGTCGTGACGTCGGACCGACTTTCTGAAAGAATTTTAAGTTTTGTTTCTTGTTTGTATTATTCAGTACAGTTACTCCTTCTCGATGCAAGCTGTTTATAACTTTATTTGACATTCTGAAGGATAAGAAATGCAATAATTTTAAAGCAAATGAAATAACGAGGTTAATAAGTTTTGGTGAATCTCAACAACACTATAAATATGAGTTTGGACCTCGCCAATAAATGCGAACGACATTAATTGCGGCTGCACTGCCGACCAAATATCTCAGCACAAAACTTCTCCTACATCTTGAATAAATTATTGTCGCAGTTTTCTTTGACTGTTATATGGAAAGCGTCTAAAATGCCAGGTACAAAAGATGATCACGTGTAATCAAACATGAAAAGTAAAGGTCTACTCATTTATCTTAAACGTGTACTCTATTTTTATCGAGTAACTTAAACCTTTCCCATAAAGTACATACTTAAACGTGCGATATGTGGAAAATACCTAATTTTAACAAAAAAACGTAATAATGTATTGATGTATACTTACGTTAAAACAATTCTTGTTTCATTTGGATCGTTATCTAAGCCAATTTTCTGTCAAGAAAGTGTCGGAAAGCAGTTTTTTTTGCCGTGTTATCTCTGGTTTCCACCAAACCCATTAAAAGGTAGAATATTCTCATGAAAAACCGATGCCTGCTGAGGCAATGCATTGACGTTTGAAACCACAATTGGACGAAACAGTTTGCCAAATGCTTTTATGCATTTTGAACACTCTTCTGTCATACAACTGTGTCTATTATACTTAGCATGTTTAATTGTGCTAGATGTAAAGTTCAAGGTTGATGAAATTACCATCACTGTAAAGAACTTTCCTCAGGAATGTCACTGATAAATGTTAAAAGAATCTTTTCAATTTGTAAAATCTCTTAAATATCAAACATCCGGATTAAGAAACCGTTCAAGTAGTCAACGGCTAGAACATCCTTAGATTTAACTCAAAGACTACTGTAAGTATAGTACCTGTATGAATCTATTTCGTAAGTAAACGATTGAGTTCTATTATTAATAACACCCGCGGACTAGCCTTACCTGAATACAACATGTAATTTACGTATATTCTTGGCTGAAATCCGTGACACGACAACAAAGCTATGTGCACTAACTTGGTGAAATAAATAATTAAAAGTGACTGGAGCATTGCATACCCTCCTGATGAGAAAATTCTAAAGTTGTTATAGTTTACCTTTATTGTGAAAACGATAAACATTTCCTATTGCCGGTATTATTATTCTCACACGGATCAACAATTCTGATGACTATTTCCGCCTTGACCGAGGTAGAACGCCATTTTTCAAATTGAAAAACGCGCTCGATAATACCTGACATGACTCACGAGTTGCCAAATACGTGTTTCCAAGACATATGAAGTCACACTATATCTTATACCAAAATCATGCCAAGCTTTGTATGAAGATAAACAAAGGGAACAATATTGGACAAGGTACGTGTCTGATATCAGGACAAACGACCTTTTAGTGTCTCAAGTGATTAGGGCATGATTCCACAAAGGGACCCCGCCAAAACGTCGTGTCACAAATCTGCTTTTTCGATGGCATTTGACGTTGGGTATTCTTGTTATTTCGAGCAACACAGTAGACCACTCATGAGGGTTAGAGCTTAAAAGGACAAGGAGGGACCGGTGTTTCTGGGTTATAACTTTCCTTTACATGTGGCGAGTCCTGATCTCAAGTGCTAAGGCAGCTCAGTCACGGCATTTTGAGTTATTTTGGCCACGTACAAAATTACCTTCAAATTGACGAAAACTTGAAAATATTAGTTCACTGAGATAGAAAAACACCACGATGATATTAATAAACCACATATAAAGGAACGAGGATGGTTAAGAATGGAGAGGATTGACAAGGAACCTGCACTTCCCCCAAGATGTTTATCATCCAAGCAGTGACACAGTTAAAATTTGTAACAATCAATTTCTTCAACTGATTCAAGGGTCCACTTAAATCCAGCGAATAACTCAAGAGAAGTTTTTTCGAAAGAAATAACTTCTCGAAAATAACGACGGATCGATCTGCCATCAACCCGGCGAAACTGTAGTTTAATTTCACATAAGGGCAAAGTACCAAGAAAGACCAAGAAAGTACGTTTCAACTGCAATAATAGCGTTTTATTACGGTCGTATTTTATTTACAAATTGTAGCTCTGTCAAACATTATTGAAACCTCTGCTATTTTCCAGTGGAAATGTTCTAAGGTGTGTGGTCTGTCTTTGTTGAAAAGTTTTTTATGAAGAGCAGCTCACCCGCAGTTGAGAGGCCCAGGGCGGGGGCTGCGACGAGTACCCAAGATCTTCAGCAACCTCCTGAGAAAATAATATGAAAAGACAAGTAAAAGCAGGCAAGACTAAAGAAATGATTCGTCTGGTTTATTTCACACCCAAACGGACTTATTATGGCAAAAGTTGAAACTGTGTGCCGCCTACTTCTCCATAAAATGGAGGAGGTTTAGTTTGTAAAGAAATGCGTATAAAAGGTCCCTCCTTCTTGTAGCCTTCCCCTGTTTTGACGCCACCTCCCCCCTCCTTCCCACGCGCCCTCCTCCTATTTTCTCACAACTAAAACATTGGACGAAAGACTCATTGTTACCGGTGTTTTCATACCGTACCAATCCAGGCGCAAATTTACACACATACATGTATTTGCAACTTTTGTGGAAAATGTTACAGGTAAGTAGCGATTTTACAATACCGGGCCACTTATTAACATATCTCTCGATGCTTCTAAGAACAGCATATAGAAACAAAAGGAACCATTCAAATTCAATGAGATGCAAACGAGTGGCCTGGTATTCTACAATCTAGCCGGGGTATACTGATAACCTGATAACCCGGTATACGGGGGGGCCCCCTGGTATACTGATTCCGCCCCCCCCCACCCCCCCACCCCGTCTCTATTGAGTACCCCCGTCAAACATACACTCTGATTGTTTCGTAACGTTATTAGCGTTTGATATGATGGCCAGAGGTGATAACCTTGGCTGTGGCTTTATAATAGTCGTGGGCAAACCTATCTATGATATTATTTCTTACTTATTGGTATGCGTCTAGACATACTTGTTTAGTAAATGGTAGTTTCAGGATTTCAAGTAACTGCCGAACCTGGGACAATGTGAAAATAAGAAAGTAAACATACCGCACTCAACAAAGGGATACACAACAAAGGGATACACAACAAAGGGATACACAACAAAGGGATACACAACAAAGGGATACACAACAAAGGGATACACAACAAAGGGATACACAACTGGATTTGAGAAAAAAACTACTTTCATTCAAGGCCCAAAATACCTAAACTGGCACATGGAGCTTGGACTAAAACAAAACTAATATCTTTTCTTTACCTTTGCTTTTAACGCATTTATTTGGTAGTATACGTCTGCTGCCGAGACTAAAGAGGAAGCGCAAACAAACGACCACGACAATAAACTTAACAAAAACCGGGTGCTAAACAATAAGTTCCATGCGCATGCAGTAAAATGGCACTTCACATGTGTTGTTTCTCTGGGTTCCTTTCTTAACCCTCGACAATAGAAAATCTCTTATAACCAAAGGCAGTGAATTCTTGTGGTCCACTGCCTCTTCAAACACACATGCACACAAACTAATTTAAGTTAAGTTTACAGCTTTACACTACTGTACCAAAGTTGACCCGATACAACTTAAACAAGAACGTGAACAGCAAGCACACCAACTGAGATCGCGACTAAGTGAGCAAAAGAAATTTCTAACCTCTGAAAAATCGTTCCTTTCTGCCTTTTGTATCGCTGATTGAGCCATCCAGTTACGTAATACATAACGAGGATTCACTTCTGAAATGACAAAGAGCTAACAATTAGTAGGACTGTCTCTTTACATATAGAGACAACATAACATAATGTTAACAGAATATTGGGGAGTAGCACGTGATGGACTAACATCCCATCCAGGGGGGAGTACCAACATTGCTAATCACTTCACCAGTAGCCTGTGATGGACTAACATCCCATCCAGGGGGGAGTGCCAACATTGCTAATCACTTCACCCAACGAACGAGGAATTTCCATCCTGCTTCTTCAATCAGGCTTTTTGTACATCACCTTGCATTCGTTGTTTTCTTGCCTGGTCCGTATCACCATCACCATTCCTAACAAACAACAAACAATGAAATAATTAGCTTTACAATCCAAACAAAAGAGCTTTAGGCTTTTAAAACTGATGGCGTCACTGTGACAACCGAGTAACGCAATCTTCAGACATTACCTTGCGCGCTGAATGACACGATGGCACTTTGGGGAGAGGGACAACAGAACTATTTTCTCAGTCTAAGATTGTGTCAGGAGTGGGGAGGCAGTGAGATGATTGGATAGCATCGTGTTTGTCTATTGCAAATACCAAGAAAGGGGACAGAATTAGTTTCGCTGATTAGCACAGGTGTTTGGTTTCTACGTTCCTTGTTCGACTGGGGTTGGGGCGTGAAAAATAGAACAATACCGATTCATACCGGGTCCAAGAGTAATGCAGAGCGAGGCAAAAAAATAATATAAATTGCTTGATTCTGTTTTCCTTTATTCACATCACAAACGCTTTACGTAAGTGTGAAAATAACATTTCAAGAAACAAAATGAAATTAACCACAACTCATTTCACTTACCAGTGAATTCTGTCAGCGTATTGTGCTACCCAGTCTCCCCAGTTTTCGTGAGTCTGTAATTTCTTTAGCGCCCACGATCCATTAGACAAGCGGTGTGCGACTATATCATGTAAGGAGATTTCACTTAGCTCGCGGAATGACATAGTAAAATCTGAACGAGTAACTGACATGATCTGGAAAAAAGAAGGAATGCCTTCATAATCGTTCATGTGAGAAAAGAAATTTAAACGGTAATACAACACAAAAAAAGTTAAAAACTAACTTTATCGGAATTATTGTTCATCAATGCGTTAATAGTATATCTGAAGGAGAAATCAGTTCAGTTAAACTCTGACTAAATGTTGGCTACCGAAAACTAATCAACAGTTGGTCATGCAAATTACATAGGGAACTGATTCACATTATTTTCCTACAGTTCTTTTATATGTATTTTTAATACTACAGCATTCGCTGATGAATATATGGACGACACTTGTCAATTTGTCGGAAAACGCCAATTTAAGAAAATGCTTTTACGGGCAGATTTTCAGATAGAAAGGTAGAGATGCACCTATAAGAAAGGACTCCTACTCAAAGTTGTGACTTTTAAGGAAATTTGAATTCTTCACAATGTAAAAAACGATTCCATATTTTCTTGGAGTACAATCACCTTCTCCATTTCTCACTTCATCACTCAGCATTTCATTTTCATTAATTTGAATTTAGAACGAAGTGATATCGCATTTTACAAGCTTGATGTAAAGTACTATGATAGCATTGTCACTAAAAAAAACATCTAGTTAGCCCTTACCCAAAGTAGAGAGTTAATAAGCATTTCATCGTCTTTCTGTTTATTCAGTAAACCAAGCTTGTTACGAAAAATATCGAACAACCTGAAACCACCAAGCACGTGTTTATTGCCACATGATAGATACAGCGTATACGCTGATAATTACATCATTACAATACAGCACTAGGCTCAGTAGGGGCCTGGATAATTGCTGATAAAAATTAATGATTCCACAATTTGTTAAGTAGTAAACATTGGGCGCTTTGTATTTGATGAATCTTCTGGTTTTAATTGCCGGAAATTTCCAGTAACAAATGGAACAGCATTTTCAAGAAATTCCGGAAAAGAGAAAAACCTCGCGAGGTATGCCCAAAGCTTCGAAGTGATTTCTTACTGGAAATTTCCCCTCCATTTGATTTTCTTTCCTGAATTTTCGATTGAATGGTTCGCTTTTCGGAAATTCTCGACAATTTCCGGTTTTTCTGGACACTTTCCCAGAAAATAATTTCCGTACCATATTTTGTTCCCGTTTCGAAATTTACGGAATTTTTGATGAATGGAAAGCGCCCATTGTCTTAATTTTGTAACGGACAAATGGAACGTGCATAATTATAAAACAATCAGAGGACGTACTTTGTTGTAAGATTAGGGAACTTAAGACAACCACGATGACGACGGCAACGAGAACGTCACTGAACAAAAGGTTTAATGAGCAAAACAGTAGCTGTGCACGTGCGTTATAAATCTTGGTACATTTCTTTGCCGTCTTCTGCAAAACAACAACGTGAAATGACCAAGTTGTGCGTCGTCTACGGAACGTGGACGACGACGGCTAATTTTTCGCCGTCGTTGCATATTTAGCTTAAGCACGTTTCTAGAGCCATTGCCGTACCGAACAGACCTAGACAATCGCGAACTTTGCTTGTAAAATATAAATTCATTTTTTACTAGGCGTCGTCCTCGGCATCGTAGTCTTTGATTAAGCTCCCTATCACCGATCAAACACGACTCGTAACTGGACGATATAGCCCATAGATTGACTCACTTGTAAGCCATGCATTTGTGTTCTCTCCCGCGCTTTATCAATTACAGGAACAAATTTAGCACAACTTATGTACACTTGGAAAATAAACAATTTTCCTGATAGCTCTAGTCTTGATGTGTTTTTCTCAGGAATACCTCGTTAGCCAATCTGAGAGATTGCAAGCTACCAATAGTCTCATGCTACAGGTTCAAAACTCAGACATGTTTCCTGACGGGTGACAATTGACAATTGGCTAGTGAAAATAATAAGGAACACTTGTTTGATGGTTTATTACAAGCTTGTTCCTTGTGGTTTACTCTTTTCTCCAAATACAACATAACTCACCTTCCATTAAACACATCCACGTAATTTAACAGGATTTTCTCTCCTCTGCAACAAAACAGTACACGTCTGATCAACAATGTTAACCAAACAAGCAGTCTTCTTTGAATATGTTCAATCAGCTTACTCGCTATAATCCTCGAGTAATGGCCTCAAGGCTTGCAGCAATTTTTCCAAGTTAAAAAAGCCAACATTAGGCTGATTTTTGTAACTGTATCTCCCTTCCTCATCAGATGTGTTTGACACATAGTCTAAAAGTAAAATGATTAAAAAGATGTCAGTCAGTATAGACATAAACAAGGCAGCGTGTTCGTTACTGCTAATTATTTGTGATAGCTGATTAATTGCTTTGTGTTTTGCAACACATTTTCATTGACTGTTGAGTTGAGATGTTTAACTAACAGCTGTAAGCCTTTAACTCTCCTCACTAGGGGTCAGTAGAGGTCTGGCTGCAAAACAAACACAATGGCTTGTACGGGAGTCGCTGGATTGATCCACTTGAGCGAGTGTGGAGTGGGCTCATGTCATGTTTCCTGTATCCTATATACTGTGATGAGGATAACATGTAAAGTCTACACACAAGCCAAGTGGCCCATCAGGCCGGAGCTTATCCCGGTTTCTGTAGCATGAAGTGACTAGGAGTGTTTCTAGTCCCCCCTGGATGGGATGCTGTAACCCCCACCATTAAGTTTGCCAGTACCCATTTATACACCTGGGTGGAGAGAGAGACTGTGAGAGTAAAGTGTCTTACCCAAGAACACAATGCGATGTCCCCGGCCAGGGCTCAAACGCGGACCGCTCAATCCAGAGACGGGTGCACTAACCATGAGGCCACCGCGCCTCCCTGAGGATTACATGTATAGAATAACTTATATTGTAACCGGCAAACTGTGTTACCTGGATCATAGTCGTCCATGAATCCAAAAGGGCCATAGTCTATTGTGATCGACAAGAGGCTGAAATTATCTGTGTTACAAACACCTAGAAGTAATAACATAATATTATATTTAAGCTGTAAACGAAATAGCAGCAATAGAATGTTCAAGGTATGGAACAATAACAGTTGACACTTCACCATGAGTAAATCCAACAGACTGCCACTTGGAGATCAACTCCGAGGTCATTAAGACCACTCTAGAGAAAAACGCCTGAGGAAATAAAGCCAATAACGTATTTAACAATTTCTTTTATACAGACTGAGGTGTAGTCAAGAACTATTGCTCATTTCCCAGTTAATCAGAGGCTCTGTCCACTGACTTGATATCCTACAATATCAAGTCACTGACCTGATATGTTCACGATAAATAAATAATCACGCTGTTAAGTTTTTGGCACCTTTGGCAGCATACGATCAAAGTAAACTTTATGTAATAATGGAAGATAGTTTTCTTATAGAAAAAAGACTGAGATAGACCTCCAATTAGATTTAAGAAGGCAGTCATCGTCAGACAGTGACGGATCAAGGTTGAATATTGCTGCTCTCGCATGAATAGAATCCAAGCAGGATAATAGGGATGGCGAGCAGTTTCCCCAAATTTGTCTTATTATAACACCGTAGGACAAATTTTTCAAAATTTGCTCAAATCTCGTTTAAACTCTCCAGGATGAGAAAAAATGACACCATTGAATGTTCAAGAGTCTTTATTCGATAAACTACCCATACATTGAACGAATTTAATGTCAACTCCTGATCTCTATACAAACTCTTAAGCTAATATTTTAGCCACAGTTCTCCATACAAGCTCTTTTATTACGCTCAGGTGACCTGTGGGTATTGCGGCTTGTTTGCTGCTTACGTAAGACACGAACTCACACTGCGCAAGCACAAGTTTTTCCTGCGCTCGCATGAGAGCTCACGCAATTCCACGATTGCTATGTAAGCCGCGGCCTGTGCAATTCACAGCTTATTTTTCCTGTATAAATAACCCTATAGTTTATGCACTTGGCATTTTTATAATGAACACTTGAGAACAGTGAGCAGCTCTCGTTTGTAATGTGCCTCTCCCTGCACTGTTGTTGCATTCTTAGTAAAAATACCTCAGTTCATTGTTTACTTACTTTACAATTATCATAGCTGTTTAGTAAATCACAGATCAAACTGCAATTCTTACCAGGTACTTCTTCGCATTTTTTGCTAAATCCTGAAAATACCGCTCAATAACAAAATCCACCACTTTTCTTTGGAAAATAAAACAACCACTCAAAATTAAACAATAAAAAGTGGAAAACATGCAAATTGTAATTGGTCAACAACCTAAAAGGCTTGGTTTATATTTGCTATTTGTGTTAGTAAATGGTTCAAGGTTAAAACATTCATAATAATTATTGTCAATGTGTTGTTTGTATATATGCACACCTTACTTGATGGTTTGACAGAAAACAATTAGTGGTATTTCACACATTAAGGTCACTGCCCAGTATTGCATTGCGCATCCCTACTGTGCATAATTTCACGCATGATTAGCATGCACGCATTAAAAAATGGCAGCTTTTTCTTTATGGCTGAACCTCACCATAGAGGTAAATCGTCATTTTCTCACAAACGAGTATGGTGACCTATTATTTTTTTTCTGTTGCTTTGAATTGAATAATAAATTTCTCTGTGTAAAATAAATATGGACCAATTCTCAGGGTAGGACAAAAAACAATTGTCGGAAACATGAATTTAGCAAGCAATAATTATTGTGACTGCAATCATGGTGCTATTATAAGGATTTATTGGGTATAAACAAGGTACTGTTGCTCCTAAACGAACATGGGGACCCCTCATTTTTATTTCAAAATTTAAGTTCCTATAATATAAACAATCAATAGGCAAAGTTTCACAAAAATCTCTGTACAGGTTCTATTTCAGTGCAATGACCTTAAGTAATATTATTATGCAATTTGTCTGTGAGTATTATCCTAAATGCAGGGATCTGCCCAGTTTCTTCCGTCAAACCACTGTCTAACTTTTTCTCCCATATCAACAAACCAGTCAGTCTACGGTGTACATGTGAGAACTACATGACGTATGATGCAGCATGCTGCTGAAACTACCAATGCTACCCTTTTACAAAAGTGATAGAGTTATAGAAGAAATAATCAATAATTACTAATTCAATGTAATGGTCATATGCATATTAAGAGGAGTCCATGCACATGAATAACACGTATCTATCTGTAGCCACATATATCTATCTACATTTGAGGATTTCCCTTATAGTTCAAGAAGTGTTAAAACAGAAATTCTACAAAAGTCACTGCCAAGTTAAAGAACTGTAGAATAACACCTATCACTGATGAACAGGGACGTGCATGTAGCAGTGCTGGTTTACAAAAAAATAAATAAATAAATAAATAAATAAATAACAACATGCCAAACCTTAGAAGGCTTTGTTCTCCATCACGTGCTAGGATTTCAAGAGAGCCAATCCTAAACCATGATTTTGCTAATCGTAGAACAACTGCAGCTGGAATAAATGAGTATTAACATGATGATTATTAATATGTAGATTTTGCCAAGCCTAAAAGCCTAGCCTGCATGGCAGGCGTCCGAAGGGGAGGGGAAGGAGAAAGACAAATGCGTGAAGTGCGTGGGGGTAGGGGATGCCTGCAAGGACGCTATTGTTTTCTTCATTCTGCCCCCTAATTAACTATGCAAAACCCACTCAACTGTGGAATGTCCGGGTGTCAAAATTATCCAATCAGAATCACACCACTTCTTTCGTGGTTAAGGCTGTAGGTGCCAACAGGTTCTCATATTTCTTGTTTTTATTTTTTGCACGAGAAAATGAAATAATTTTAAGACCTTCAGAGGTTGGAAAAAGCAAGAAGAAGGCGGCCCAAAAAAGAAAACAATTGTAACAATGTTTGTAGAGTTTGCGAGGTGAATCTTAAAGTAACATATGGCAACTGAGTGGCAAAAGTTTGTGTAAATATATATAAAAACCATTGGATAAATATATATAAAAACTGTCGGGTTTTTGAGTCTTTCCCTCCCCTTCTACAGCCTGCCATGCAGGCTATAAAAGCAGAGCTCCTGGGCCAGGTTGTTCAAAACCCGACGGTTTTAATATATATTTGCACAAGCTTTTGCCACACAGTTGCCAACACAAGAAGCTGAAAAATGAGACTCTTGCCAATTAGCCTGTGGGTAAAATGGCTAAAAGATCCTTTTTGCGAATAATAATAATAATGTCTTTTTTTGCTCTGCTTTTAGCACAAATTTCAGTGATACCATTTTCTTCCAAAGATCGAAGCATTTCCTCTAGATATAGTTCGAAACAATCCCTTGATTTATCCACCTTGTTGAATGCCTTGAATATGAATATGACAAGACCCCAATGCTCTTGAATGACAGGTTGCTGACCAATCAGAATGACAGATTGAGCAATTCATTAAATCTGACCAATCAGGATTTTTACATTAATTTTGTCTGATGGACAAAAAAAAAAACAAAGAAAACAATAGCGTTCTTGCAGGCCATCCCTCCTCGAAGCAAGCTTGATCCTCCCCCACTCATTTTGAGCCTTTCCCTCCCCTTCTACAGCTTGCCATGCAGGCTATAAAAACGGAGTTCCTGGGCCAGGTTGTTCAAAGCCCAATTAAACTAACCCAGGAAAAGTGAGAATTTGGATTTGAGTTTTGTAACTTTGCAGTGAGATTTTCTGTTTACACTGTTTGGTCTTCTGTTTGAGTTTGAATAAACTACACAAAACAAAAACAGTGAAAAACGTTATTTTGTATACAAGAAAAATTTTAACTTTTAATCCTGGGATAGTGTTAACTAGCTTCTGAACAACCCAGCCGTGATTACAACAAGTTAACCTGACATGAGCCCACGATCCAATCAAAAACCAGCACTTGGTCAGCAGGCAACTTCAATGTGACAACCAAAATTTTTAGATCAATGGGTTACCAAATTTTCTAGGGTATGGAGCTCTGCTAGCACACCTTTGGTATGCAGGAGCTCTGCTGTAACTACATTGCACTATACAACAACCAGTGCCATTGTATTAATGTACCTTTTTCTTGCATAGGGTGTCCATCATAGAATTGGTCTCTCCAGACACGATCGTTACTTACAACCAGACTAGCTGCTCTACTTGTCGGTATGCCTAAATGAAACATGGCTTCACTGGCTAGGAATTCTCGCACAGAGGACCTCAAGACTGCTCGGCCATCCCCATGTCTGTGTACAGACAGTATTAATTAAAAACACAATTCAATTCAGCCATATAGTTATGCCTTAAAGTTATTACTAAAAGTGTTGTTTTTAATAAAGTACTAATACATTATTGGGAGACATTTTAATATTTTATAACTTGAGGAAGTAAATATACAGCTGTTACTTTTATTTATAATCACTAGCAGCCAGTTCCAAATGATGTCCCCTTATGGATTTTTACTGGGCTATTACTAAACACCTTTCAGACTCACTCTCTTCTCATGAAATACATGTAAGTGTTACATCTATAATTAATGGTATATCACACAAAAATGCTCTATTAATACATGAATGTTGTACAGAATTTTGTAAATGTACTACATGCATGTGCCAATACTATAATAGGGAAATTATAGGCACAGTCATTTTGGGAGACAGACATGGACTGGAAGTTGACTTTTCTTTTCTTTGGTGCATTTTATGAAGTTTTCATTAAAAACATTAAGGTTTTCAAGTCATCGGTTGGCAGAGGGTTAAAACATGCCAAAAGATGCCAAGAATACAAACTTCTTGTTGACATCTGTGGTTTAAAAACTCCTGTCCTTAAACTCTCTATCTCCAATTGAATAATTTATTATTAAAACTTTTATTATATGTATGGTGCTGTTACCGTGAATAAGGAGTTTTGCCAGATCCCTTCAACTGCAGTTCCCATCTGTCTCCTTTCCTGTAAATGGAGAGTTCATGGATTTGTTTTTTCCCATCACAGCTCATTTATCATTTTGATGTTTTGCAGACAAACTTCAGAACTTCAGCTTAGAGCATATATATTCAAGTTCACAGTCAAACATTTGGGTATCTAGGTAGCATTCCCCNCCCCCCCCCACCTACATGTAATGACAGTGTTGCCATGAACTATGCCTCTCCTACTGTAATCTGACATGTTTACATGCATATACCTTACAAGATGTTCAAGAAAATCAAAAATCAATTACCAGTAGTTTATAAGGTAGATTTTCTATAAAATATTAAGAAAAGACTGTCCTGCAGACTGTCCTGTGCTATAAAAGATATATAATTTGTGGTTTTGTTTCCCCTTGGGTTGACAATTTTTCAACCAGTTTGACTTTTTTACATTGATATTTTTTTTATTTTTCATTACGAGAATCCGAAACAAAGGGAAACAAAAATCAAATTGGATTCAAAAACTTGAAACTAAAAATAAATACAAGGCGAGAGTGCAACGTGAGAGAGATGCAATCCTATGTACATGTAAGTATAAAATAATATTCTATAGACAATATTAATATAAAATTAAATTGTATCATCATATAATTAATTTCATACACTCAAAAAAATTCTGCATTACATCAGTGTACCTGTTGATATACTCGCCCAGCATTACTGCCCGTCCATCTCCCAGCTGACCAGCCCAGTCACCAAACTGAGTATGAAAAAAAAGCACATATCCTGAACTTTATTTTCCTGTAGTTTGATGTGGTGACCTAATCTGGTCATGGTTCAAGCAAACTATGAGTACGTGTACATGTGGGGTAACGTACAAAGACAAACAAAAATCACCTTGCAGAAAAGAAATGCGACACAACTTGGAGATAGCAGAGGAAAAAGAGGGATTACATTCAAAGCCTGGATGTTTAAATTACTGCGTTTACCATACCCAAATTCATCATTCGCCAATCAGAAGCTGTGTCTACTGCCCTGATATCCTGCAATAATGAGTCACTGACCTGATATGGTTATGACATCATGCCCACTTGACCGAATTTGGGTATGGTTAATACCTAATCGTACCTTTTCATTTCTTAAATTGAGCCATGGTTACCAGATTTCTCAAATTTTGGTATGCTTTAGAGGCATATCAGGCTGTGTCTCCCCAAAATACAAACCATGTCTCAACCAAACTCACCTAATATGCTGCTGAAGCATACAAAGTACATTCAATTAGTTATAAGAATTTCTCTGACAATGCAGAATTCTGGTTGGTTCTGACTGTCAATTTATGCAGCCCACTGTAAATGCTACAGAACACATCAAACCAGGACTCAATCAGGACTGGTTGGCTATGTTCCTTCTTTATTGGTTGACATGTTCATGCTATGTTTCTACCAACTGGTTATGGCAAAACCTGAATTTGAGCTACCACAAAGTTTGTAGCCCCACAACTGTCATCTTAAAAGAAGATATTACCTGTAGCATATCCAATAAATCAATAGCTGCTATTACAATTATCAGCGGTTTGACATACAAATGAGCTTTGTATTGACCTGTTCACCTCGTTTCTAAGAATTTTCAACAACAGAGTATCTGAGTGCACTCTCAACTGTAATATCAGCTATTGCACTACTCTGTTTGAACCTTACCTGATGTCCACCGTACCTATGTGATAATAATATCGCATTTGGCAATATTTTATTTCCAGCAACAAATTCTACGAACGTTAGTGATTCTAAAACAGAAGCTGCCTTCAAATCCAGAATATCTGTTATAACTTCACTAGACATTGCCACCAAGTGAGGTTTATGGTTAAGTGGAACAGGACGAACGCTTGAAAACACCACACCAGGTACTTGTCGAACATAGTTTCTTGTTTCTTTATCAACAGGAAAGACCTGTAACAGCAGGCTTTTGTCCGTGAAACTCCAGTCATTGAATTCCAATAAGTCCGTGCTTCGGCAAACCCTTTGGGCTAGCTCTAAAAAACTTTCTATGGTACAAACAGAATTATCTTGTAGAGAGACGCAGTAGTGTTGCCAGTTCTCTCCAGCAACAAATGTTAAGGCGAAGGAGTGTGGCCAAGACAGAATAAAAATTGTCACAAATCGAAACAAGCACAATTCGTCCGCCATATTTGATTTCCTTAGTAGCCAGGCCTTGTTGTATTGTAGGGGAAGCCGCTGTACCAGTTTAGTGACATTGCTGACCATAAAATAAATTAATGTATTAAAATGAATAAAATTAAGGGGGTTCGATCCGATTTTTGAGTAAGAATACTGTTCAACTTTGAGCGACTAGCTACACTTAAGAACACAACCGCAGTCAATGCAACAGAAAATCAGATGTTACAGGTGAACTAGAGAAAAGAGAAGTAAGTTTTATAAGATCTGAGTTACTATGGCAATGCACTGACGTCATGCCTCATTTTATCTGAATACTGAATAACTGAATAATTCATCCTTAAGGTGAAACTTTGGAAATACGACTTTGGGATTTACGACCTGACAGTGTCTTGATGGAATTTTTTTAAAGTCTCTATGAGAGGAATTTTAGGGATTTAGCGTGTTTTCATGTAATTATTTTAGCGCCATGAACTGTAATAAGCAAAAACGTAAACAGGAGATTTTCGAGACAAATACGAGTGAAGTAAACAACATAAGTAAAAGACTCAAATAAATGTGGCATGAATCTTATAACATAATTACATGTATCTTGACAGAAATCGCTCCGTTTAATTTTCAGAAACACGGGCTTGAATATCAACTGACTGGGGTGTATCAAAGGTGACACGAGATGAAAGTAAGGTAGCAGTATATGGGTAAGAAACATTGATTCTACTTTTAGAAGTTGAAACAACTGTCTACAATCTACAGGGAACTTGACAATATCTTCTTGTGCTTCCTTTGCTTTCTAAACGAATGACTGAGAAGTGTATGATTTAAACATTGTATCCAGCAGCAGGAAAAGTGATAATCATCCATAGGAACTTTGCTTCACTCCTTCGGGATTTTATGCGGATCTAATATTTACTGCAGATATCTTAAGAGAGAGATTGAGTTCTTGATCTAGTTATCATCTCAAGCAGGTTTTACTGTAAGGGACGTTGTCTGGTATATTTGCATGTTCAGCAAGTGTTATTGAATTTTGATTTGTTTTGATTCCATTATCAGTACATGTAACGGAATCTGTATTACAAACGTGTTTAAAACCATCGTACGCTGCACAGGTATATCACTATATTTTAGGAGCGTTGAAACAACAGTACAACTTTTGATAATTGATCTCAAGTTTATTGTTTGTTTATTTGTTTTTACTATTACAATTTTATCGTCAATTCAACAGCTTACAAATTACATCACATTGAAAAAGCAGGCGAAACAAAATAATGCTTGGCTTTCAAGTGGTCATCATTAGATTTCCTTACTATAAAAGCCAAAAAAAGTAAGGAAAGAAAACGACAAGAAGAACAAAGCACAAGGAAAAAACAAAGATTACTAAAAGCGAATCGAGCAATGCTTACTGTGACTTACTGTTGCCACTTTGGATTTTTGTTGTTACGAAGCCCGACAAATGAAAATAAAGTTTTATCATCTTGTACATTCATCTCCTGCTGCGCCTTATGCTCTGCTATCACTAGAAAGGCTGATTCTCGGTAAACTAAGTTAACAAATACAACGTTAATCTGCTAAAATATTTCACAACCCAACCGGTATGGCTCCGTTTTTTTTCCAATCATTTATCAAAATTGAGCCCATTTTTGTCTCCAATACATTTCGCGGCTTCCCAACCCCCTAACTACTGATAAGTTAATAAAGATGGTGAATTTTAAGCTCGGTAATGAAATGTGAAGGTGAATTAATCAACATGACACGAGCGTGGGACAAAGGAAAATTCTGANTAACTTATCACTACTCACGATGAATTCGATAGCGTTGATCCTAGCAGTATGCAGGACATCTATCATATATGAACTCAGTTAAATGACTTTGTTCTCCATGAGTTCTCGTAGCTCAGTGGATAGAGCGCTCGCCCGGTGTTCGGGAGCTCATGGGTTCGATTCCTGTCGGGGACTCAGAATTTTCCTTTGCCCCCCTAACTATTTTGGCTAAGTAAGTATACAAGAAATCAATTCATTCATATTCAGCCACTGTTGTTTGCCATAATCAATCGAAGCTTGGGTACAGTATTTTTGTAAACAACATAATGATGGTAAAATTGCCTCAACATTTCTGGTTGAAAAGTAACAGTAAAATTGTAAACATTTTCTTATTATATACCAAGAAAATACTTTACTTTTTACGTCAAAACGCTTATGGGCTCCTTGAAGTTAGGCACCTTCTCTCTTTCCCCTTGACAGCGTTTTTCTCAGTTGAGAGAAAACGAAGACAAAAATACTAGAAGGAGATTGGTTTCGACAAAAGGAATTTTTCCTAAACAACAACAACAAGACCAAGGGAATGAAAGAGACAAATAAATAAAGTCAAGACACAGGGAGACAGACCAAACTATATGAGCAGTGGAATTCGAAGGAATTGAATGTTCAAAATGTTAGTTACTTCATGCTATTTTCGAGTTGTTCAGAGAAGAGATAACTTAATTTATTTAGAAAATTGGTAAACATTAAGATTTTTCAAATAAGAAGGAATATTATGCCAAACGAGGGAAGCCATATAGAATATAGTTTGTATCCCTGTGTTTGTTCTGACTCGTGATTTGCAGAGGTTTTGGCTCGCGGCGTATCTAATATTATAAGTATGAATGTTACAAGTTTGTTTCTTGAGTTGGTTTCCACCTTGAAACAGTTTGAAATATGAATAACAAAACTGAGGAACAAAATAAGCGCAGTCAGATCCTTCTGCGTTTATCCGGGAAAGACAAGGCATTTATTGTTCCTCACTTGACGCTCTTTATCGCTTTTCTGTTAATCTGAAAAAAAGCCACAAAATGTGTAAATTAGAGACAGCTTATTATTCTATACAGGCAAAGAAAACGTCAACCTACTTTCATACTGTATATCAGTAGGTACAACTTTTCAAAACTGAAGATTGTCCTGAAACTTCCGCCTCGAATAGTTGTATACTTTACCTTGTTTCTTCAAATTCCAGTTTTTTGACATTTAAAACTCTTTCCTTGACATAATGAGCGGCAAAATCACGCAAATCGCCGCCGAAAGAAAGTGAATAACCTCGAAAATTTCTCATTAGAGAATGTTAAGCTTGTAGTGAAACTCTACTATCAAGGAAACCAGTTGGCACCAGATCGTAATTGCTAAATTGTGTTTCCTTTGGGTTTGTCATCCTTAAAACAATCACAACAAGAAAAAAACTTGCACAACATGATCTCAATTTGTGAAAAAGGCATGCTCTGATACAAACAAAAAACTACCTAGCGAATTGAAGTAAACTTACGAGAATAAATGAGCAATAATAAGTGCTATATAAACTCAAAAACTTAAATGGGGGTTTCGACTTTATTACTGTCTTCTGCAGAAGAAGGTAGTAATACCAAAACACTGGTCAAGTGTTTGAACTTACCTACATCTAACGCGTAGCGCTATATTCCTTTCTGGAACATATCAAACCACGTGGGAGACAAACCAGACCAATCTATTGTTCTAACCACTGGACAAATCATACAACTCACTCAAAACAGTCTACATAATTATGTAATGTACACGTAGTGTAGCCTGTGCCCCAATTCGTACGCTCTGATGTCATCAATCATATTTTTCAATCCGCATACCATGCAATCAATCATACTTCTTAAATACACTAAAGTATGTAGTATAATCACTTTTAATTAAACATACCTTATTTTGTTTTTTAGAGTACTGTATTCTTGACCAGGCCGATTTACAAGATGATATCAGCTGAAAATAAAAAAAATTCAATTGTATATCTCTTCAGACTGTCTTCTCCAAACATGAGAGGTATAAACACCAGCCTGGGTGTGACAAGAGCCACAACGCCCATAGACCTTGTTACAATACAATATCAATTTTGTTAGCACTCCCCATGGGGGCAGTGAAAATCTACTCTGTTCAATCTTCTAAATATCGTCTGATCCGCTATTTTCCTGCCTTATTGGCTAATTATCTGATGAAATTCAGCCTAATTTTGCAGGATCAGTGTTAAATATGTAAGGGCTATTTTAAGACAACAAGGGGGTACATGGTTTATTCACTGAGTGTGTACCCTGAGGTAAATCACACACCCATGAGATGCCCAAAAAAACACAACAACTTTCGAGATTGACATTTACCCCACTAGGAAGCCCGTCACAACCCAGAAAACCACAGCAAAATTAGAGCATTTGGAACTGTAATGCATTTGGTATGGTGAGTGTCAAACTGAGAATAATGCAAGCTTTCTAGAGCACAAATCATTTCTTGCATGTATCCAATCATGCACATGTAAATAATCTCATTAATTTCATGCTCGTTTTATCAATTGTAAATAGTTTCATTAATTTTAATATGTTTATAGTGTCCCCATTTAGTGGTTATTTACTGCTATTTTAGTTTGACACTTAAATAAAGGTATTCATTCATTCGTTCATGTATGAGGGTGAAAGCAGTTAAACTTGAAGCTCCTATTTTTATGCTTCATTTAGTTTCTTGTTCTTATTCAATTTAAATCATAAGTACTTTACTCCAGTCCAAGTTGATCCACATTGGTGCACTACCTACCTGCAATTAATTTCATTTACCTACCTTCTCATCCATTCCAAAACCATCGGATTTTGCTAGAACATACTGTTCCCTGAAATACAAAATTATTGACTAGGCTGAACATCATTCAAACTTCATTCCCCCAAAAGAGGGGACTGTCTGGCTTTTTACCTCTGCCCCTCTCACCTCTTGCTTACCTGCCCTCTGGAATTTCTGATCCCCACGAGGAATATAGAGATTTTCTTATCACACAAGTGCTTATTAGAATACTGATATCTATTCAAACTTAACCCTGCTATTTCAACTGCTGTTTTTCTTGCGGGTTTGAATTAACAGGGCACAACTGTACCATTATTTCATAAGCAAAGAGCATAATACAAGTCAGCCCTTTGATTAATCTAAGCAATAAAAATATGAATTTTGTAACCAAAACTTAATTTACAATGGAAATAGTGAAACCTAAGGGGGGAGAACACCTTTTTAAGCAAACAATAACCAGAGTCTTATTGGATTCTACATGTACTTGACACAGGTTAATTCCTGTAAAGGCGGAGTCCACAGGACTACAGACACAGCCTAACTATAAGGACCACAGCTGATCCTACTATTTGCATTCACAAACCTTATTATTCTGGAGGCCAGTTTAAGTTGACCTCGTTGTATGAGACTCAGTGCCACAAATACTTTGCATTGGGCAGCAAGAACAGGATTTCTTAACCTCAAGGCCACAATTAACTGATGCTGAGAAATCTGACAAGCTTTTTCAGACTGCAACAAATAAGAAAAACAACTCAGATTGAAGTTAGTTGCCATTATTGTTAAACACAGACATATTTAAGCAATAGAACTCTTTTCCTGTGTTTACATAGCCTCATCTAAACATGACGAGGCTTGGGAGAATTCGAGACAGTTGTAAATGTCAACCTGAGACGTGGTCAAGGGTTTGGATAACTTTCGAGAATTCTCCCAGCCCCCCAAGTGTTTAGATGAGGCCATGTAAACATGGAAAGAGTGTTCTATTGCTTTTATAAAATAATTCTTAAAAATATGCGTGAAGCTAAAACATCACCACCGTGTTTACATACTCTCATCTAAACACACCTATCGACCAATGAGAGCATGCGTAGTAGCTCATCAGTTATCACCAAGATATTTAGAATCTGAACAAATTAGCTAGACAGGAAATCCAAACCAAACTGACAGACAAGATGGATAGCACTTCAATTATACCAGAAAAGACTTCATCAAACCACCAGCCTGTGCACATCACATGACCTGATCCCATACTTTATCTCCACATGCATCTAAGTCATTTACCTCAGCTGTTATCAGCCTGCAAGCCTGCTCTCCCCCTCCACCCCACTACTCCAAGAGAGTTTGCTCGCAGGCTAAGCTTTTATTTGCCTGTTATGATTTGTTATCACACATTTTTATTCTAAACAACAGTTGCTCAAGAAACAAGAAATGATTCCAACATGACAGCTTCAAATATATGGCAAACATTAACCTAAGTGTACAAACTAGTCTCGGAAAACAGCAACTAGCAAACCTCAAACTAAAATTTTCAGTTCAAGATCATCAACATATGTCTTCAGTAAACAGGTGAAGTCTGAATTTGAGCCTCCTGGCCTGGCATCAGCATGGTGCTTGTCTCTGATTTCCTAGCAATAAGTGACTAGGAGTACTTCTACTGCCACTGGATAGGATGCTAGTCCATCACAGGGTTACACCCAGCATGAATTCACTGTCACATTAAGATGTTTACTCTTTGAAAACTCAAGAAAATTTTGGGTGAATATTACTTCTTATTATTTCTAAGAAGAATGCTTGCTTGCAGATGGACGAAAACTACTCACATAACTATAAAGATGATCTCCCATTGCTGAGTATGCACCTCCTAATGTTGATAACCACGCCATAACATCCTGGAGCTGCATGTACTCAGTAAGGTCAACAAGGAGTTGCTTACACCTGCAGGTTTAAACAGGACAGAGATCAATTATAACTGACTACTCCAGCAAGCTTTTATTGTTATATCATAATTTCTTTTCAACTGCATATTTTGTAATGATTATACAACTGCAAGGAACTCATTTTTTTTTTATTTTCTCTATCTCATACCATACAGTTCAAATGAATAAAATGATTCAAGAAAAGGTTATAAACTAGTAAGTACATGTACATGTATCAACATCATTGTACTGACTAGAGACAAAAAAAACACTGGTAAATTCCATTTTGACATAACAAGGCCAAAAAAGTACAAAATCACTCAGTCAGGCCTAGGTGGGTGAGAATAATAAACCCCAGGTACTAACTATTAAATTGCTCAAGGAGTGGGAGGGGTGCTTGTGGGAGAGCGGGCACTGTGCAATAAAGCACTTAACTGTTATGTCATTGCTTGTCTATACGACTAATTAGCCTTGATATATAAGCTGTCCACTTGTTTGTTTTATCTAATGTAACTACATGACTGTGATAGAGCCAAAATATTGTAACAACAGTACTGTTCTGCATTGTAACAAACCAAAATTTGGTTTTCAAGGATGTTAACAATCCTTGAAATTGGTCTTGTTCACATCATGTTCAAAACTAGGTCCGCAATGCGAACTTGTGTGGGATTTCTGTCAAATAAAAGTTGATGCGCTATGGATAAATCAGAGAAATTGAAGCTTTACAGTGAATATTTATACATTTTGTCGTGTTGTAGTGATGAACGTCAAGTAAAGATACCGCAGAGTCCTGGTTATAAGATCCCAAGCTGCAGACAAAAAAACGGTTACAGGAGAAACATGTTTGGACTTTAGTTTCTAGGAAATTCGCTCCCTTAGGGTTCAGTTACATGGAACTCTTTATCATGGTAAATGACCCTTTTACCACGGGAAACTGCATTTAGTGAGTATGACCAATATTTCCAGAGGTAAATTTTCTGTGGTTAATACCCATGGATACATAAAAAATATCACATACAGCACCTTTGACAGTTAATGTGGTAAGTTGCATTGGTGTTTTGATGTCCAAGGTATTACGAGCAAATCACGTTTCTCCGTTTGTCATTAATATGTAACCAAAAAGGGAAAATGGTTTTCCCCCGTGTGCCATTTTTGTTACCTTGGCTAAATCCCCTGCAACCGTTGTTTCACAACGTATACTAAATCCCAGCAAAAACAAAAAAACAAAAACGAAAGTCAGCAGACATATATATATCCCCAAGTTATTGGGGAGGGGGAGAGGGGGGGGAGTTTCATTGGAAGAGTCACTGAAGTAAACATATTTTGCAGGTTAGACTTGTTTTTCACAGCAGGGGCGAAAATAAATGACATCATCGAAAAGCAAGTGCACACGAGATGGTTCACTTTTTGGTTGTAATTCTGGACTGTGCAATAAACAATAACATGGCCTGTTTCGTCGGGATGCCAGATGATGTGCTACATAACTGGNGGTGGAGAGAGGCACTGTGAGAGTAAAGTGTCTTGCCCAAGAACACAACACAATGTCCCCAGCTAGGGCTCGAACACGGACCACTCGATCCCAAGACGAGCACATTAACCATGAGGCCACTGTGCTGCCCTATGAAAAATATAAGCCCCAGGGGTTTATAGTACATTAATATACATGTATAATAACTCACCATCTTAGATCAGGCTCCATACACAAACATGTTAAAGCCTGAATGTTAATAAATGCATAGATCTTCCAAACTGCAGAACGATTGTTTTTTTGCCTTGGCTTTTCTTGTATGTGAACTGAACATGCTTTGCCAAGATCAACTACATAATCTGAAGCACAAGACAACTGTTTTGCTGCAAAAAAGAAACACAGACTATCAGGAGATTGCTAAACAATGTATAGTGTATTCCCATTGATAGAAATTTACTCTCCAGGTTGCATTTTCTTTTCTTTTGGACCAGTTTAGATACCAGTCTTCAGACCAGCCTATAGAAAAGGCTATAGACCAGTCTACAGACCAGTCTACACACCAGTCTACAGACCAGTCTATAGACCAGTCTACAGACCAGTCTACGGAGCAGTCTACAGACCAGTCTACTGACCAGTCTAAAGACCAGTCTAAAGACCAGTCTATAGACCAGTCTATAGACCAGTCTACAGACCAGTCTACAGACCAGTCTACAGACCAGTCTACAGACCAGTCTACAGACCAGTCTAAAGACCAGTCTACAGACCAGTCTATAGACCAGTCTATAGACCAGTCTACAGACCAGTCTATAAACCAGACTACACCAATCTATAGCTTGCATGGCAGGCATTCAAAGGGGAGGGGGAAACTACAAGGGCAAAGTACAATTGGAGGGAGATTGAACTCAGGCAGCACAAGATCAGTATGTGAGCAAACAGTGTAAGAGTTCAACCCTACTTAATTATACAGAGTGAAATTAATAATTAGGCATGACCTTCATTTATAAAGAGATAATATGGAAAATACCTTTAAATTCACCTAAGTTGTCTTCTTGTCAACATTTCTGGTTTAAAATACAGGCTAATAAATTAGGTATCAAATACTTCTATTGAAAACGAAGTCTTGATCATGTTTTTTTTTTCTCACTATTATTTTGTTTGACTGTTTGGGTTTTTTTACTTAACAAAGAGATTGGGAATTAAGTTAAAAAGGAAAATTTTGCTTGTCAGGCTCTTTATCTGGAATGCTGTTTCTTTTACTTTTACCAAAAATTATCATTCGATAAATAGAGCTTTTTCAAGAGATGTATCAAAGCTGCTTATTAATTTTATGGTTTGTATAAAACTTTGACATGTTAGTAAATGTCGTATTTCTCCTCACCTTTCCTCCACTGAAGAAAGAGCCACGCAGTTAGATGAATACAAAAACAACAAGACTTGTTGATTTGCCGCCAAAGTAAATTTCCAAAGATGGCGTCAACATTGAATTTCACTTGCACTTCAGGTTGAAGATGAAGTTTCCCTCCATGCTCTTCCACGATCGATGCACATTTCACAGTGTTTCGTAAGCGTTGTTCAAAAGTTATGTCTGGACTGTAATATTTTGCGATAATTGCGGCTTTTCTCGGCTTGGAAGACAAGCAAATTCTTCGCATTTGTCCTCAATGTGCTGTTCACTGATTCGTCGTATGTTAGGTTCCAGTATTTCCGAGCGAGCGAACCTGAGTGAATTTATCAGAATTCAGCAAGTGAGAAAACGAATCACATTTCCTGATTCTACAGATTCTACATGTCAGTAAACTAGTAATCTTCAAATTTAGAAACTTCATTTCGTCAAAATAACATTTTTGAAAATTTTAGAAAATGGCAATCAAAGCATAAACAAATTGGTATTTAAAATATTCCCCCTGTGTTCAGAGTTGTCAGGATGGCCGAGCGGTCTAAGGCGCCAGACTCAAGGATCAACTCCTTCCCATGATTCATGGGAGTGGGCGTTCTGGTCTCCGAATGGAGGCGTGGGTTCGAATCCCACTTCTGACACAAATTTTTTTCTTTTCTTCCTCAGAGCTCACAATTTTTTTGTTTCCCTTTTTTAATTAAGATGTTTGCTACCTTTTGGTATTTTTTCCCTTTTAATAAAGACGCTTGGAATTTCTTGGTTTTTGGTATTTTTCCTGTGTTTAATTAAGAGTTATTATTCTATGAGCCATGCTCTCTGAAATATGGTAAACGTACGCGTGATTTTTGGGGCGTTTTTATCTTTTATTTTAGTCTAGTTTGCTATATTTTTGGGGCGTTTTTAATAAAACAGTTATCCCACTCGCGCTTGGAGATGATTTTAGCAAACTCAGCGCTACAGGAGGCAGAGGAGAGAGAGCCTGGGAACGCAAGGCGCTCCCCAAACGCTCGTTGCGCGAAAATATGCTCGGATATTTGTTCGCGGACATTATCTGTTCCGAGAAGTGAACAGTTTTGCGAGAGCGTAGCTCAAGGGAAAACTGTGAGCTTTGAGGAACAGATCATGTCCACGAACAAATAGGAGCATATATTTGCGCCAAATGAAGGCTAATGTGTTTGTCATTCTTCAAATATTTTTCGCAACACGCACGGTTTCCAAATTTGCCGGATATCCTCGGGTCATCCTCGGATGTTCCCCAGTTTTAGCTGGGGAATATTCAGTCACGTGACGCGTTTAGACCAATCTCGTGTAAGCGAAAATACTAAATGGATCAGTACATGGAATATCCCACTTGTGATTTGTTATTTTTGGGTATACACACGAGCCTTTATTGCTTAGTGGAAGCAATAAAGTTCATAAAGCCACGTCACATATTATCTAGTGTCAGGCGTTACAAATAAATTAACTCTACAAATGATCATGTGCATTTCAGTCTCTTTTTTTCTATCTTTAAAATGTCTGGGCTCGATTACAATCAATAGAGGTACCCTGTATCACTTACAGTAAATAAAGAGAACAGTTTGGGCAACCTCATCAACTATCGTCTGCCTAATGCGTATCGCCTTTACTAGAAAATCTCGCAAACTCAGACCCCTAATTTCAATTTCCGCACAATTACGTACATGGACAACTGCGACGAACACTGCACTGTGGTCAAAGAAGTTATGCGACCGTTGGGACTGACTGTAAGACAATATAATCGAATGCACAGGATAAGGCTTGTACTCAATCCAATCTTTCCCATGGCCTTTTCCTTTGCTTTGGGTGGTACCTTCTTGGGGGCGGGGCCCCGCCCACAAGTAAGGGAAAAGGTCAATGCATGGGAACGAGATTAGTACTCAATGTTGCACTGGCACTTCGATCTACGAGTCCCTATTGACGACTATGCATAACGGCTTTCTGGTGCTGTTATCGTCTGTATCACGGTCAGGGATTAGAAGCCTTTTGCACGCGTGTGTTCAAGATAAATCAGTATACCTGGAGAACATCGCATGGTTGGTCAAGGGTTCGGTTGCTTTAGTCATCAGGGCCGGTGAGGGCCGCACCATGCTCTCTGCGACGAGCAAATACCACAACAACACCGAACAAAGGCGGTCCATTTACCCGGAGGAAAAACCCCATGAAAAAAAACCCGGTCCTGAATATTGCAAATATGACACTGCGTTCGTGTCTATTGTTTAATTAATCATTATGTTTTTTTTTTTACACAAGTCTTTTTCTTCCTTTTATAGCACCTTTAAACATATAACAGAGGATTGACGTAAGATTGAAAAGGAAATTGGTCCTGGGATAGTTATTTTAGCACCAAGTGCTCCATTTGGAATCTTCAAACATCCACTTCCCAGACTCCTCGCCCTCCATGATTGATCTGGTGGAGTCTGAGTCCGAGGTGTCTATTTCATAACTGTGGAAAGTGCATAGCGGGTCCTGAAATCTCACTTGATTCTCTGAACTGCTTGTTGAGTTGCTCCTTGGAGTACTTTCTGAGAGGACACAAATAAATTTAGTCGCAAAAGCGTTATATTTTGTTCTATAGTCTGCAGAATCTACTTTTACGTCAATGGTGACATGACTTTAACGTCTTGCAAAATAGGAAGTTTGGTCAAATATTCTTCAAACAGACACATATGGGATGCAGATATGTTACGTTATCGCTTGCAAATAACTAAATATAAGCAGTCTCATATGGGCACCACTGTACAGGATCTAATAGTCTCTTAAAAATTACAATAGACCACTCAAACACGTAATGCCGGGGCTTCACGGCGATTGTCTGACACGAACAAACTATGTGAAAGGAAGGGCCTGAAGGTGTGAAATAGATCTGCCTATTTTTCCACTGGAAAATTGGGGTCTGCGCCACTGGAAATGGAAATCAAAAACATGGGAATGGCACTGCATAGGCTGAAATGGGACTCCCCATCCCTCAGCACCACGACCCTCCACCCCACCCCCCATCCCTTCCCCAAACCTTCCTTTCAGGACCTCCTGAAAAGACAACAGAAAGACAAGCACGCACTAATGACGGTATTTCATTTCCAAATGAATTGTGCTGTATTCCCTTGGTAGTAAGGGGACTGGAGGGTCTCATTTCTTCCCAGTAAAAACCTTATAAATTAATGAAGAATTACAAAATAAAACGTAGAATTGAAACAACTTAGAACAGCTTCACTGCAGTTTTCGTTATTAAGATCCAAATTGAAAAAAATCGTTTTCTCCAACATCCTTATTTCGGATCAAAAGCGTAAAAATCTCTGTTTTCATTTAAAGTAAAACAGCACGAAAGCTACATCCCATACACCGTTTGCTTATGAAAACGAAATACCATCCTCTCCCTCCCACGCTTGCGGCTGTCTCGTTCCCCCTCCTCCCCNCCCAAAAAAAAAGTAACAGCAACAAAAACAAGATGCAACGTACCAGGAGAACTACCGGAAGATATTCGAATGGCTTCAATAGAGACGTAAGAACTTGGAATAAATCCTTCAAGGCCGTCGTCTCTCATCACCCACCACCAGTCCTCGTCATCTCTGTTGAGGACGGTCACAACTTCTCCACGCTGCACATCCACGTCATTTTCGTCCGCAGCGTGAAAATCAAATAAAACCATCACAACTTCATTTTCAAACTTTCGGAAGTGAGTCACTTGAACTTTTTGCCGACGTCTAAAAGTCTCTGGTGCTTTTCGATCCCAATGAATAAGATCGGATACCATGGAGGTGGTTCGGTTGTCGTCGGGTAAGTCTTCGAGCGACGAAGACATTTTTGGTGTCCTCAATTTTTGACCGTGATTTCTGAACAGCGCCTCTTCGCTCCGACTTCTTTGAACAGAGGATGTAGTGACATTGCTGCGTGACAAATGTACTACTCTTGTAGAAATACAAGAAGCCCGTGACTGATGAGACGAAGCCTTTTGAAAGTCGTGAGCGTGAACCTTCGTAGGCCATTTGACGCTACTCGTAATCTCAGTGCGAGGAAAGCTTGCGACGAAATCATTTTTACGTAACACAGTACAATAATTAAACGGAATGAATCCTCTTTTTCCTTTGTTATTCACTGCATAAACCTTACTGTTTTCTCTGTAGAGTAGCAGCACTATTTCCCCCTTTTCCGCTTGTAAGTCTGACCGTTCAACAGCATTGTATTTCCACAAAACCCTCGCCTTAATATTTGCAGGATGTGTCGGTGATGCAGCAGCAAGTCTTGACGCTAGTTCAGTTTTTGCTATGTCTGGAAGTGAGAAAGAGTTGTTGTTTAAGCTCGGGTGATAAACTTGACTTATTCCACTATCGCTGTCGTCATCTTGGTCAATATCCATCTTTATTTCACCACCTCCGGGTAGCAATGGTTTTAACGTTTGAAGTTTCCTTTTCGTAGCCCTTTTTGACGTATAAACTGTGGAAGAAATTACATAAATTAGTTGTCATATAAAACACGTGCACATCTTTAAACAACGAAGGCTCGTCTTCGTAAATCAAGTTACTTTTTTTTCAAGACCAGTCGTGTTCCAGGCACTCTGCGATAAGTGCATGTCAGTTGACTGGATCCAAAATAACTCCATCCGTGGGGGAGAAGAAATGGCAACTTTTTGGATAATTTTTTCTTTTCGCCTTGCAACGCAGACCATAGCTAGTAAAGTGAGTGCCCAAGACAAGGTAAGGCCTTCATATCTATGGCTGGATACCCGTGCACATACAAGGGGACAGTGAAGTGTACTCTGTTTGCATCAATGCAATGATGGCAGAATTAGGAAAATGTAACATAAGTATGAGACGAATTAGATGTCCACATAGAGCGGTTTTCATTTGAATGTCGAAAAGTAATTCGTTTTGCATCAACTGCGCTACACGATCGATGGCCCGTTCCAAACGCCGCTCCATGCATGCGCCGAACCTAACTGATGAGTTAAGTAAGGCAAAGGAGCGGCGTTTGAATCAGTTTGGTTCGGCAGGTTAAGTTTGGTGCAGCAAACAACATTGAATTCGACAGGGTCTGTCGCACTATGCGACGTTGGAGCGGCAGTTAATTCATACGGCGTTCTCATCATGTGTCGAACCTAATGCATAAATTACTGTAATTTATTTTTCATATAACGGGACTCGTGATTGGCTCAAAATTGAGTGGCGTGACCAGTCATGCCTGAAGCTCAAAGTCGTCGCTAAATATAAAGACAGCAAAATACCAGTATGCCTTCGAGTTATGAGAAACGGGACTGTGTAAGCGAGTTTCTTTGGCGCAAATTCATTTTTTGCTTTTTCTTCGTGATAATAGCCCAGCTTATTAGATTTCCCTTTAACAAGTCGATTTAACCGGGAGAAAACCTCTCTAAATACAAACACTGAACCTTGTTTGAATTTGCTTCCCTAAATATTGCTATAACAGCATGATAACAGCGAAATGTTAGTCATAGCTTTTCTATTTAGACAGAGTCCGTGAATTCAGAACGCATATTTTCTCGTCGAAAATTGTTATCAGCGGCTTCCCGAATTAAGTTCGACGCGAGTACGCCGTCTGAACCAGCCGTCGCTCCAAAGTCGCTCTAAAGTCGAACGTAATCAAGTTTGGTTCGGCACATAAGTGGAGCGGCGTTTGGACCGGGCCTTAAAAAACGCGCGCGCCGCTTTTTCATCCAATCAGAAGCAAAACCAAAAGCAATCGTGACTTACTCGCACATGTTTTCCCGCGCTTTGCGTCAGCTACATGTAATTACCTCGAGCTTTGATTGGTTCACTGGATTGTCTTTGTCCTTTGTGATTGGCCACAAAGATTGCTTTGGTTTTGGTTTCACGAGAACCAATTGAAAACTGCTCTAAACACGAAAAATGTCTGTATTTACCTCTGATTTATTTTCCTATTTGGCTAGACATACAATGCGTGTGAGACGTATTATGATTATACTAGGTATCGCCGGAAAATTTGGCCAATAAAGGCGATATCTTATGTAAAACTAAACCTATTGCTGCACCATTAGTTCTTATCTATTAGAGCGCGTCCGTATTCTTGACAAGCCTAATTGTAAAAGTACTATAAACTACTATAGGACACAAGAGAAAAGAACCAAAGGTGACAAACTCAAAAAGTAATTTACCTGATGTCGTAGATTGCGATAGTTGTAAGTCTCAGTGACACGTACTGTATGTGATCCCATAGTGTGAGTGCAGTACGTCATGATTCGTTGATTGCTGTGGTACAAGTACGTGATTATTTGTTGATTGTTGTGAATAAAGGAAAAGGAAATCAAAGAATTCCATTTCTTTTACAATCAATTTTGTCAATGGTGTCTGCACAAAAGGTAGCTTTATGTTATTGTTTCTTTGGTAGGATACCGTGCAGTGAATATAAGCAGAAGAAAACGAAGTGTTAGATAGGTTGAGCAGAGAGCTTTATCGCAATCCAGCAAATTTAAATAAGAATGATTTGTCTGTAGTGTGACGTATTTTCTAAGCCCATATTTGCACGTACATCATTATAACGATTTAGAGAATTTAATTCTAGAATCATTTTACGTTGAAAATTTTCGTATTGATCTGAAGAAAATAGTTATCTCCACAGAAATTACGCATATTTTTGAAAAGATGAATTAAATATGGATGAGAATTTGATATCGCGAAATTAATGATTCTGAACGAAAAACTCTTTAATTATAAGGTCTATTTATATTAAATTAAAAAAAAAAGAACCTGCCTTCTTCTTAATTAATGTTAATTCGCGCAGAAAAACATATATATATTACGCGAATTATAAAACTGCGATATCTAGAGTTGAGAACAGTTTGCGTGTTGAAAATTGAAATCGATAGAAATAATGGATCTGCAATAATTTAAATAACTCTGAGAAAACTAAGAAAAAAATGCGAAAAAATTGAACAAATTGTCTTAATATGGTTACAACATTCCTTACTGAGGCCTGAAATGCTATGTTGTTTTTTGGTCCCTTTGGGAAAATATTAAAGCTGCATGTATGCATAAAAGTTGCAGGTTATTAAGCTCGATCGACGTAAGTCTAATGTCAGTTATTACATTTTCGTGCAAGTTTAGCGTATGATCTAAAGCCACATAAAATAAGAGATCTAACGAACGCATCGAAAGAAACCTTGAGAATCATACCCGTATTTTTCTACAACCGTCAATTAGTCCCGGCCAACATCTACCGCAGGATATCATTAGTATGTTAAAAGTTCAACCGGGGAGTTAAAAGGTCTTAAAACTGAATGGTATCGAATCTACAAATGATCCTTGAGCGACAGAATTTTTCTCACCCTCATCTAGTTCATCATCATGCCATTCCATGTTTGAAGTTGATGTCGCCTCGTATTTTCAAAGGAAACCTGTCTGAAGGCGGTCGCTTTGCGCGTTGTGGATTATTCAAAATACACTTTGGCGTTGGAGGAGGGAAACTCATTAGCACACAATTAAACGTCTCTCGCGCTTCGCAGTTTTTGTGGTTGCCATGGAAACTACGGATGTTTGACACCTAGAGAAAAGAATCCCTTGCTTTTCATTGGCTCATTTCCCAAAACACTGTTGACTTGAAAGGTGTTTGCTGAGTGTCGTGGGCTTTTCAAAAGTAATTTCGCACTCACACTCAAAAGTTTATTTTGAAATTATTTAAAATGCAATCGATACCAAGCGCTAAAAGCTTTACACATTATACGTATACGTGTCAGTTGAACAGTTTAAATGAATTTATTAACGAAATTACGGAATCTTCCTTTTAGTAAAGGAAACTGAAGCAGGTGACTTGCTGGACAGCACGCTTCACCCGGAATTAAAAAACAGCTTAGTGAAATCTTTTGTACTTCACAATCCTCTATCATGATCAAAGAAGACTATTGCTTTTACCAAAACAACAACAATAGGTCACAAAAACCATTGTTGTTTTTGTATTTTAACATGCAAATAATCTGCCATGCTTAGGGTATCTTTTACGTTTTCAAATGAATACGATACGACGTAAGTCTCTATTCACATTCAACCTTTTTTCATTAGCACTCCGGCAATCGGCAATCGTTTGCAGATCGTCTACGCCCGACTCACATAAAATTAAGATGGTCGAATTTGGTTTATTGGTGGACAAAAGGTGTACACGTATTGTCGAAGTTGTCTTAAAGAGACCTTGGGTCAAGCTAAGCGTGCATATTTCACATGCTACATTTAGAAGGTCACATTATTTGATAGAAAGAGAACCGAACAACTCTACGCCACATTTTTTCCCTTTTTGTAAGTCCATCACTCACAAATTCTCATTAGGGTTGCTGTAAAGATCGTACTACGGGAGTTCAGACATACAGCCGATATCCTAGGCATATTCGTTTCAGTTACATGGTATTTTTAAAAAGTACTTTGCGATACCGCACAAAAATGCAAATGTAAAGTATACAATTGACAGGCCTTGCGTGTCATAAACAGTAATCTTCCACAAGATACCGTTTCTCGAGATAAAACTTCTTGCCCTGAATCAATGCCGATTACTATACTAATAATCGAGAAAATACGACGACTTGATTTTCCACCAGGTGCCCATCATGGTTACTGGTCCTCACTCAGGCGTAGAGAGGGGAAACGGGAAACTTTTTCCCCCTCCGTCCTAACAGAAGACCACCATGCCTAGTCGGTCTGACAACTTCAAATTCTTCAAGAATTTCGTGTTTGCCGGGAATGTTTTGAAAAGCAATAATAGGTGAATGCTAAAGAAATGAACTGATCACGCTGAAGGATGAATTAAAGGAACTTCATTATCAACAACATTTCTGCTGTGTTATTGATTTCGATTTGATTTTTTCCATTTCCGTTTTTTAAAAAAACATTCAATGATGTTGTCCAAACAAGGGCCAACAGGTGGCATGAGCTTCCGGCGGCAAAAATAATCAGGATTAACTTAAAATAAACACCATAATGTTTAGGATTTAATTCACACGTAATCGTTTCAAGCCATTCAAATTGAGGTGACGGTGAGAAAATATAAAAAGCGGTATCTTTTAAGGATAAAACGAAGAAGAAAACATCGTTAAAACACATTAATGGATTTGCTTCTCACAAAGGAGTCTGAACTGAGCTTGAATTAAACAACTATCTTATCGATAGTTGAACTAAGTGTTAATCTCTGTTAATTGTATCCATTAACACATACCGCGCCGCGCCACTATCAGCATTATTAGCCAATAATCTGCAGATCGAGGCGGGGTCGTTATAGTCCAGTTGGGCATTATCACAATTCGGTAAGTTAGCAATGGAGAGTTACCAGCTCATGAGCACTCTTCGAGCGAAAGTGCAAACCTTCAGGGGAAACCAACCAACCTGGAAACAAGTTACTAAAATATTTAAAGCTCGATAAAGAACTCTGCGAAGCTTTCAGCTTCCAAAAAGCCGCGTCGTCTTTTCCAAGCCGTGGCAGCAGTTGCATAAGTGAAACTGGAATCGCGTTTTAAGACTCCGTCAACAACAAATTCAATTCTATCATGAAAATCACTAGTCCTCTAGTATCTGGGCGATTTGCAATGTGGGTTTCCCTTTTCTATCACTGAAAATTGGAGTAATTCTACCTTCTTCAGTTATCGCCATTTGTTGGCCTGTCAGTATGCCGCTTTTTAAAGAAGGAAACGTGTGAATTCATATGTTAAGGCTACTGATGACTATGTTGATTAGTAAGGGCGATTAAAGAGGGTGGAGGCCGTTTTTGTTTAGTGTTATCATCTCATCTGAAGAATGAAAGACATGAAAGCAATAAAAAGGAAAAAAAACTCGTGAACTTTGTTTGAGAAGGGAAGCACGTTACAGTTCTACGAAGCTGTGGCCGATTAAAGTGGAATTTAGCAATGTTGCTTTCCTTCGAGGGAGGAAAACCGGCAACCCGGTAAAAAAACAGCTGGGTCAAGGACGAACACCGGCGATCCCGGTTGGGGATCCCGGGCGGCAACATTGGGGAGAGGCGAGGCATCTAACCACTGCGCCATGATTCACATGTTTCATAATTTCTCCCATCAATGAGTAGAATAACAGCTTAAACTTGCCACCTAAAGAAACTGATCGAAATCTGAAATATGGCAATCCAAGGTAATGGAGACACTAAATCATCAATAATCCAATAAATGGGCAGTGATATTCATTGCAGCCGTGGCGCCATTACAGATAAGCCTGACTATACGACAACCTATTTAGGCGGAAACATCAATGTTTTAGTTGAGATTAACAGAGGAAAGCTTAACGAATTATTTTATCAAGTGAGCAATTTGCACGGAACTGAGTGCCCACTTCACAGCTCAGGCTTTTCGTCGATCACTTTAGTGCACCGTACCCTGAGGAACGTCAAGACCTAGTTTTTGTTTGCTAAGACAGAACAATGAACGATTTAACAAAAACAAAAGCGAGAGAAAAACGATATCTTACAAAAACCAAGCTCACTAAAAGTGTAGCTAAAGGCCAGATTAATTAAAAACTTGTTGCATGTCAACAATTCTACACAAGAAACCAAAAAGGTAAAGAAAAGTGTCCACTCTGAGCTGTCAAGGTGGGGCAGAGAAAGGCGGTCCGACCTTACCCGTCCTGTATTAAGATGCCAAAGCTGATCAGTCTTAAGATCAACTACAAAACTATACCTCAAACTTGGTCACTTTTATTACCAAACTAGACTTTGCCCTCCAAGCAGCATTAAAATGCAAAAGATGTAAATATTATTCATGGCATTTAAAGCTGCCGACGATTCAACAAAATCCTATAAATTGCAATGAATCAAATCTGATTTTCTCGACTGCACCACCAAAAATGAATATTCGAGGGTACGAAGGATGAATTTCTTAATGAGACAAATGAGCTGTTCTTTAGAAAACGTAAGAAAAATTCGCCTCAGGATATTCTAGCCAAAGATCAGTCAACTTTGAGAGCTCTTAAATACTCTCACCACTGAGAGTGTTATTTCACGACAACAGAAACAAGTAATTGAATGTTAAACATTCTGCTGAGCGTTCTTGTTATAATTAAGTTTACCAGTCTAGTGAATATCCCGAAATCTACTCCACAAAGTTTTATACGGGAAAGCTCTACCCAGACTTGGATAAAAACGCTCACCGTTTTTCATAACAACTTTGACAGAGAAGGTAATCCTTTTGAATATACCCTTGATAGAAAATGGCCCCCTTTCAACGCATCATGAACAGTATGGCACACTTCATCGCTTATTTCCAATCTTTCATTTAATTTCCCTTAAAATACTTAGATGACTCAGCCATCGGGACCTTTTTAATATCTAAATGGCAGCTCTCTTCTATGCAACTCATGAAATCCCTATCCCTTTCAAAAGGAGCCCCTCCCCCGAATAGTTCATTACATGGAGAAACCCCCCATAAGTTTCAATGTCCGAAATGTTCTTTTTTTATTAGTTCTGTTAACACGAATAGACCCAAGCAACGCACGTCGTCATTGTTAAAGTTGTCTGTTTAAATTTCGCCTGTCCCTCTCCCTGAAAGACACAGTTATGTTTTAACCTATTCGGCTCAGCGTCTGTGTCCCCCGTTTATCAGCTCAATCTGACTTTACATGTCTGCAATTAGTTGTAGACACATCTTTTCTAATTCAAATATATTTCGTCACTTTAATTTAACAGAGTTTTATTTGACTCCCGGTTTTACCCATATAGAAATGAACGACAGTGAAATGGAAGGTGAAGCTAATGGCAGCTTTGTTCAATCACTGATTAGCTGTAAGATTTTCCTAGTAAGCCCAAGACACATTTTAGGAATTTCTCAAGCTAAAAATAATCCCGGTATATATATTTCAAAAATATCCATTGGAAACAGGAAAACGTCAACACAAATTAGCAGCCGCCATTATAGCCGGTATTGAATCATACACAATTTGTTTTAAATGTAACATGTTAGTTTTTCTTTCGTCTTGTTTGAATTGTGAGCGAAGATTTCGCGTGTAGTCTAGCCGCTATCCGCTTTGATACATTTAAAAGATCTTCCCATCGAGACGACACCTTGACACAACACAGCAAGAAATCGGATGAAATCCTTATCTTTTAATAAAAGAATTTATCTCGCAGGGCAAACATCTTTACCATACGTCTGTATGCAACGGAAACGAAATTATGCAAAAATCCTAAAACTCGTAGAAAAAGTAAACATTCTTTTGAGTTGAGATTGAACAAGTTTACAAGACTTTCTAATATTGAGTCAACTGGTTTGTATTAGACATACTTGCAATATTTTCATCAAGCGCGATGAAGACGGCTATAAAACGGCACGAAGTACAAGCAATTAGTTCAAAGAATTAGTCAGTTAAGTCTTGTAATCATGGAAAATTTCTGATCTAATCGTTGGGCAAGGAATGAATATTTAACTCTTTCTTCCCGTTCTGGATAAATGAGAATAAAAGCATGTTGATTAGAAAAAGGAAGGATTGTACACGTCAGTGAAGTTGATATTCAGCGAAAAAAAAAGGAAACAACGCCTGCACTTTTTGAGGCCACTTCAGACAAAAAAGCAACTTAATATCATAAACGTTTTTCTTTATCTGTATTTTCAAGAGTTGCAAACAAACTGTTTTGTTTTGGTTACCGGTTTCCCAATACAATGAATGCGACTTAATCCTGCCAAGTGTATAGGCGATATTAGACGTTGAGCTGACTAGCTTGTATTTGTGCCTCAAAGAGAAATCTAGCACTCAACATAAACTGAATGCATCGCCGATTGATTGTGAAGGTATTAGAGAACTTTCCTATGAACTCTAAAACGAGTCTGAACAAAGAAACTCTGCGTCTTGTACATTAACGTTGAACTTGCTTTGTTTGCTTATCAAAGCTGTGTGCGATATAAGATTTACGAAATTTTTGTGGAATAATACTTATAATTACCCTCCCCCCGGCGACGAATTGAAAAAAAACTCATTTAATTGTGCATTTGACGTATCCAGTTTACGATCTTCGAAAAACAAAGAGAAACAGTATTCGATTCGCGGTAGGTAATAAATTCCATTTAAAACGTAATTGCTCTCTAGCGATTTTACAACCCCCTGCAGTATCTATGTGACTGCGGTCATGTTTTTATGTAATACACCATCCACATCAATAACGACAAAAGATTACGGACATTAAATACTGACCAGAGAACACTGAGCTTCATACCTTTAAATTGGCCCGCGCTTGTAGGCTTCCTTCCAATTACAGACGGACAAAAGAAAGCCATTATCCCAGGTACCCTCAGTGTACAACTCTGACTGCCGATTGGAACTAGAGACGGTTATAACTGACCTAACACGTGTGAAGCTTTGGCAAAGAACTTTCCAACATAACAGGGTTAACCAACTCTAGAAGAAAGAGGAATTATCGAAAAACGTCTCAATCGTTGGAAAATTATTTGTAGTCAGTCGATCTATACGTGCTTTTCGCCAAGATTGGAGTCCGCGACAAATGCACATGTTAAAATCCCATTAGCAACACTGCTCATTCTTTGTGAAGGCACGCTATCTCACTGCAAATTTAACAGGAAACTTTGAAATCATTCCTATTCGTTTGTGAGCTTTATTTTAAGTAACAGCGAATAAACTGAAACAGGAAATTACTGACCTGGACCGCAGTTCTTCTCGCAAAACGAACTCACTAAAGCTAACGATATCGTCGACAAGCAGCCATATAATTTGCATTAAATGACTTAAGAATTTACCAACAGCACTAAATACTTCAGCCTAAAACCCTTGCACAAATACGGCTCGGATTACCGAGGAATCTTTGTGATATGTCTCTGGTTTCCGGTGGAAATGTCACCGCGTCGATCGAGAGAAAGAGGCGAGATTTTCTTTAAGAACTGACAGGTGACAACCAGTGACGACAATGGAACGATCCAGACAATACCTGTCAGTATACAATTACTGCGAGTTGATAAGTAATTTTATTACCTGTCGATCGAGTTTATAAGTGACCTGATTACCTGTCATTCTTCAAAGGCAATAATCCCTAGATATTCTTTGCTCAGGGCTCTGGAGCTGTTTGACGCACTTTAACTCCTTTTTCTTACAGACTTGAAAAAAGCAGCAACGTTATTTTTCCAGTCTTATTGATTACTTTGCAAGTGAATAAGTTCAGCTCAAAAGCTCACTGTATGAAGCCTGTGGTTTGAATTATTTGTTTTTATACTCGTTGG